AGCAGGTTATTTCTGGGAACCTGACTTTGGAAATGGCTCTCAGATCCCTAAGTGGCACCACTTCATGTCCACAGGAGGTGTAGGTTTTACTGGCTATGATGCCAATGAGGTTCCTATGTGCAGGATCCAGCTTGGGCAGCAGCCAGCCAACCTTCTTTGAGATGTTTTCCGGTTGTGAAGAGAAAAGTGGCAGTTCAGCCCCTGCTGCTGTGACCACCTGTGCTGAGATGCATCTTAGTCCGAGGTGATTCCTGTGCCCGGGTCAGAGGCCACTCAGTCGTGACATGGATGTAGCATGCTGTCAGCTGTGACCCAGATGGTCGACTCAGTATCAGATTTTATAGATTTGGCTGTACAGGGAGGCCGTGTGATTATGCTGGAAATGAACTTGCCTTCCAGAGGCAGACCTTCTGCATTCAAATCTTGGCTTCGCCTCACACTAACTGCATGCCCTTGGGAAAGTTATGTAGCATCTCCATGCTGTTGCCTCATGTATAAGAGGATAAAAGTCCTACCTGCCTCAAAGGAGGTTGTGAGGACAGTGCTCCGTATACAGGAAGCACTTAGTCGGCATTAGTTGTTATGACTATGATGTGGAACATGGGTAGGACTGCCAGATGGCAAGTCTTTGAAGCTTGGGAAAGGATTTCCGCCATGCTAAAGCCCCGTGAGTGCTGAGCGCAGGCAAGTGCTGCCCCACCTTCATGCTTCTGCCCCTCCAGAGCCCACTGTTCCATCTTTATCACTTTCCCTTTGCTTCCCCACTAGTCCCCGGCCCAAGAGTCAAGAATGTGCCGTTAGAACCAAGTTTTGGTCTTGCTCAGCCTTGTGAGCTTAAAGAAGTGCCTTAGCGTCTCAAGCAGTGGCTCTGGGGTGCCTTAAGGCTGTCAGGGTGTCTCGGAAAGGTGAAGTGACTGTGCAGACCAGCCGCTGGGGATAACGAAAGAAAGAACACCTGTCCAGAACATCGCTGATTCTCTACTAGTGAGCAAGGCTTACCTGCCTGTACTCATGGCTCAGAGAAATCGAAGTAAATTTCTGCCCTTTCTCTGTATCTTGTTGCAGCGTGTCAGGTAGCCCCAGGGCCCTGTTCTGGTTGGAGCCAGCGGTAAGCCAGGCTGCACTATCACAAGACTGCCAGGGGCCCGGCTTCACTTTCTTGGTGGCCTCTGCTTCTGTTTCCCATCTTGTAACAGGTTGGGACTGTTAACTGTTCTTGAGGTTTAAATGCTGTAAGCATTACCGTGACACAAAGGCAAAGAATTAAACCCACGGGGTCTCTCCATCACCCACTTCATTGACTTGATGCTTTCTTTCGGTTCTTGCTCTTTAGTTTCTAAACATATTGTCTCTCTCCAGCGCTGCCTGTCCCCACTGCCTACCCTAGAAGATAAGCTGCGTGATAAGAAGGACTGACTGTGTTAGCAGTGTAGAATAGCACTTGGGGAATTTCACATGGTTAGTAAATGGACACACGTTCACCCACGAACATGTGTGAATGCATATAATGTTGCCATGGAAGTCTCTCATAGTGGGTTGATCTTCCCTTCATCTGTTCTTCACCAGAAAATATATCGTGATATTTAGAGACAAGAAGAATAGAATTTGGAATTCTTGTATTTATTTTCTGTCGTAAAATTTAACCAAAGTAGCCAAGCTCAGGTTCTGACAGCGGGCGCATGCTATCTCACAGATTTAGGGATAGTAGGCTGCTACGGCAGTACGCCAGCCATCTGCAGTGCAGGTTGGAATCAGCAGTGTTTCATTTGTACATGTCATGGGGGTCGTCTGCAGGAAGCAAAACAAAACCCTTAGAATTCTGCTCACACATAGTATTGAGATTTCATATTCCTTTTATTTTTGGCTGTAATCCTTGTTGGCTTCCACACACCTACGAGTACTGCTCTTGCTGTCCATCTTGCAAAATATAAGACAAGGCCAGAGCTTAAATTAAAATCCTCAGCCTCTTATCTCCTTCCCACAGGAAAGCAAATCTGTGTTGAAAACCGTAAAATTAAGAGGAGAGCAAGGAAAGCATAATTTAGCAAAAATTCATGGTGCCAGTTTCTGAGCTGTATGACTGGAGGGACAGGTCAGACATTAGGAAGAGCTGCCTGCCAGTGCAAGGCCTTAAGGTGGTGCTCTGGAAGCAAGAAAGGCAAGCAAAATATATAGATCCTTCCAGAAGATCTCCACAGTGCTTATGCTAACAACCCTAAGAAAATATCTTTGTAGATTATTTGGCAATTACACATCTTTTGAGACTTTTAATATGAAAGTCAAAGTAGTTATTTTAAACTAGAGTTCAAATATATTCATTACAGCATTTGGATGGTAAGTTGTTTTTTTTTTTTTTATATTCTACTTTTAAAAATAGCTTAAAAAGGGGCTGGAGAGATGCCTCAGCGGTTAAGAGCACTGACTGCTTTTGCAGAGGACCCGGGTTCAATTCCCTGCACCCACATGGCAGTTATGAACTGTTCTTAACTCCAGCTCCAGGGAAATCCGATGCCCTCTTCCAGCCTCTGCGGCATCGCACGACACGGGTGCACTCACATACATGCAGGCAATACACTCATACACATAAAATTTAAATATATATATATATATATTGTCTTTTTGAGACAGGGTCTCCTTGTAGCCCCAGCTGTCCTGGAACTCACTATGTAGACCAGGCTGGCCTTGAACTCACAAAGATCCACCTGCCTCTGCCTCCCAAGTGCTGGGACTAAAGGCGTGTGGTACCACGCCCGGCAAAAATATGTATTTTTAAAAAATAGCTTAATCTGTTCCACCCTGCCTACTCTCCATCTCTCGGATTCTAAATTCCATGTATTTCAGAACATCACTAATACTTGAAGAACATTAAAGTATTTTTGCACATTTATATGCGTAGATGTTTGTGTTAAGGTATGTGTGGGGGTGTATGGCTTTGATAATGGCGCTGTATTTAATAAATGCCAAGGGATGTATGAGGTGTGCAAGGTTTGCATTAGAGAAGTCCTGAAAATTGTAAAGTAGAAGCAGCGTAATTGCTAAACAATCTACAAAGATACTTTTCTTAGGTTTTTATAGTAAGCACCATGCAAATTATATAATTGTCCAAAAAAGTGCGATTTTCCTGCCTTCCTTTCCCTGGCCCCAAAAGTTTTTTTGCATGGAGGTTGTAGTGACAGGATACAAAGCATTAACTGTTGCCAGGATGATTGTTTTATTTTCCTGAGGGTAGCATTCTAATTGAACCACATTCTTATCATTAATTGCTTAAAAAACAATGAAATTCAAAATTACTGTGTATCATATAGTGTATCAGCAGCCGCCACACAAGTGTGTTGTGGGTCCATCAGCCATCTAGACAGGGCATTTCAGTTTGGAACAGTGTGTCAGGCCACTTCCTCAATTTCTTTTTAATATGAATACTTGCTTCTTGAGAAACTCATTTCACATGTATCTTAGTCCTTAGTACACTAAAATATCACTAATTCAAACTAATTGTGGTGAAGGCGTGCCTGAACTAGTGAATCCATTATATTTTGTTCCTCCTAAATCCGCGTTGCTCATTACTGTAGAATTTCTAAAGTGGGCATTTCCTGAGGCTGCTTTAATTAGTGGATGGGCTTAAAAATCAGAGCCACCCTTTACATGTATATAATTGTGTTGCATTTCCTTTCTTTGGAGGAAGGGTAAAGTTTCTTTCTGTTCTTTTTTTTTTAATTCACAGATAAAATTGTACTTATTATGTATACCATAGTTTGAAGTAGAATGGTTAAATCAAGCTAACATATGAATTACGTCACAGAGTTAACTTATTTTTGAGACAGCATCTCTCAGTGAACCCGGGTCTCACCATTGCAGTTAGAATGGCTGGCTAGCAAGCCCCCAGGATCCACCTGCCTCTTTCCCCTGTGCTGGGCTTATGTGGGTGCTAGGGATCAGGATTCAGGACTACATGCTTACACAGCAAGCACTTTACCCACTGAGCCATCTTGCCAGCCTGCCCTTTTGTTTTTGACATTATGTCTTTCTATCAAAGCTTAGGCTGGCATCAGTTCTCAATTCTTTTGCCTAAGCCTCGTGGTTGGCATTACAGGCACGAACCACAGTGCTCTGCCAAAGTATGTTAAAAGGCAAAATGTTAGCAGCCTGAAATGTTCTTTCAAACTCCCATTGTATGTTGTGAAATTAAACACAAGATTAGGAAGTCTTCCGAAAGGAAGGGAAGCAGAAGGTACACTGAGCAAGTGGGCAGTCACGTGACAAGAGTATGGGCAAAGTGACAGAGTGTGGTTCTTCAGGGTGTGCAGCTACAGAACCACAAACCTGTAGGCTGGAGAGGTGGCTCAGCGGCTAAGAGCACTGGCTGGTCTTGTAGAGGACCTGGGTTTGGTTCCCAGCACCCTCACGGTAGTTTACGACCATCTGTAACTCCAGTTCCAGGGGATCTGATGCCCTCTTCTGGCCTCCTCCAGCTTTGCATGACACGGGTGCACATGTAGGCAAAACATTCTTACACATAAAATAAAAAACAAATTAAAAAAGATAAAATAACCACAAACTTGAGACATAAATTTCTACTGAGTTGTTTAAATTGGCAATACTTAATAATTTGTTCACAGGACAGTTTTTTAAATTGATTGTCTTTTTATAGCCAGATATATGTAATAAATAGAGAGCATATAAAATACACATTTTGCTCTACAGACCTTTATTAAACATAGCATGAGGAGGCAATCCAGAAGGGAGTTATAAATATGCAAACGCAGAAGTTCATGTTCACTGGTCACTCAAACCTCTTTAGGCCGTGGGTGAGACACCCAAGAGCCTCTTCATGCAATGGAAAAATGCTGAGGATCTAAATGAGATGATTTGAGAGGTCAGGATGAGATGATTCTTGTGTTACCTTAGTGACTGGTTACTGCTATTGTGTGACTTTTTTCTTTGGGAGAGGCGACAAGAGTCAGGCACTGATATTAATGATACGCCTTGTGGTTACTTTGCAGTCAAATAAAGTGCCAGTGGTGCAGCCGTCGCATGCGGTCCACCCTCTCACCCCCCTCATCACTTACAGCGACGAGCACTTTTCTCCAGGATCACACCCGTCACACATCCCATCAGATGTCAACTCCAAGCAAGGTGAGAGCCTCTGGTCTGCCCCGGCCTCTTTTGCTGTTTGAGTCCCCGTACGTACGTTTCCAGGTGTCTTTTCCCAGGGCAGTTCAAAATGCATTTAGAGTAAGAGTAAGAGTAATTCATTGGCTGGCAATTATCTAGAAACTCATACAAATTTGTTTTGCATCTTTAATTTTTCAATATTAAAAAAAAGAAGAGAACCATAATAATTTCATTTTCCAGGCTACAGCTCTGAAAATTTGTGGTCCACAATATAAACCAATATGTTCTATAAATAGACTACGACTTCAGTTCTCTGCTGTTAATGTAGTTCAGTGCCCTCAGGTTCTGCATTTCAAGCCCCCCCCCCATGCCTAATGGATAGAACTGAGCCACAAATAACTACTTTTCTCCATAACTAAACATTTATCATACACTGTGGCCATCCGTTTGCAGTCTGAGCAAGGACAGGAAGGCCTCCACCAGTTTCTCTCCCTTTTTCAGAATCTTGTGGTAGAAAGTTTGCTCTTATTCCAGGCTAAAGCTCAACAGATGGGGCTGGAGAGTTTGCTCAGTGGTTAAGAGCACTGACTGCTCTTGCAGAGGACCTGGGTTCGATTCCCAGCACCCACATGGCGACTATGAACCGTCCTTAACTCCAGCTCCAGGGGAATCTGAAGCCCTCTCTGACCTTCACGACATTGCACTACACGGGGGCACTCACATACATGCAGGTGATACATTCATACACATAAAATAAAAAATAAATAAAATATTGAAGAAAAAAGAAATCTCAACAGATGATCTCTTTCTCGTCTATATTAAGTCTAGAACATTCTTCTTTTCACTGAAAGGAAGCACTTTACAAATTCACCTTGGCATATCTGAGTCACCCACATAACTATGCTTGCCTTCAGGGCCATTTTTAAATAAAATAAGGACTATTTAACACAAGCACTGTAGTGCTAGGACAGTAGATCAGTTGATATGATTGCTCAGACAACCTTTAAGTGAATGATGCGGGCAGTAGAGTATATAGCAAGGGCCAAGGGATGTGTATCCCAGACAGAAGCAAGCAGCCAACAGCATCTTATCATGCACTCAGTGTCAAATCTATAAAAGCCGTCACTTCTGGAATTTCCCACTTAATACTTTAGGCCTTGGTGGGCCATGGGGAACTGAAAGCACACAGGAGAGGGAACGGTGGTTAAGGGGGAGACAGAACTAGTTTGTTAAGATGTAGGGTAAGTGATTTTTTTGTTTTAAAAAATATTTTATTATTTTTATTTTATGTGTATGTGTGTATTGCCTGCATGTAGGTAAGTGCACCCATGTTGTGCAATCCCGTTGGAGGACAGAAGAGGTTGTCCAATCCCCTGGAACTGGAGTTACGGAGAGTTGTTAGCTGCCATGTGGGTGCTGGAATTCAAACCTGGGTCTTCTGTAAAAACAGCCAGTGTTCTTAACCACTGAACCATCTCTCCAGCCCCCTGGTTTTTTGGGTTTTTTTTTTGTTTTTTTTTTAATAGACAGAATCTCCCTGTAGCTAAGCTGGCCTAGAACTCACTCACCATGTAAACCAGGCTGGCCTCAATCTCAGAGATCTGCCTGCCTCTGCCTCCCCAGTGCTGGGATCAAAGGGATGCTTCACCACCACCGGCTTAGTTTTTTACTTTAATTATTTTTTGCAGTGCTAAGGATCAGACATAGAGCCTTGCACATAGAAAGCAAAAACTCCACCACTGAGTTACATCTCTAGCCCCTGTTGATAGTAATGTTTTCTAAAAAACAGAAAAGAGACAAAGTAGGAATTTTTAGTTCAAATGTTACTCTTTTGAGCCTCTTGTGATTTCCTTTGATTATTGAGTTACACTCCAATTATATTTTACCCTCTTTTTGTTACTTCCCATCCCCAGCTTAGATATGATAAAGTTCAAAATCTATCTCTATTTTAAGTAGAAGCAACCCAATTTCTGTATGGTTCCTCTGCAGTTAATGATCAACTGCTTCCTTCCTCTTCATTTGCAGAAAAACATGTTTAAAGGTCTGAAAAACTGAAGTGTCAAATTTTCCCCATGGTCTATGGGTAGGGATTGGTAATAGGGTAAAGAGCTCTGGTTCTGCAAACCTTCAGGCCGTCTTCTCAGAGCCAGTAGAGGTGGCTTGTCCTCAGCACAGCGTGCAGGTCCTGCCGTGCACCTGCACCCTCAGACTGCAGCAGGGTTTAGAAAAATTTACAGTGGAAGGCTCAATGAAACCACAGGTAAAGAGTCCGAAGGTAAAGTGGCACACAGCTTGCATTGTGCCCTTCTGTCCAGCCCTATTTCTCACCCATAGTGGGCAACATCTAACGTGTATGTGAAGGGTAGCACTGTGAGGCCGGTTCCTTTCACTGTTCTTACCTCTTCCTGGGCATCACTTAACAACATCAGTTCCTCCATTGCTAAAATACACTTACTGTTGTACTTGGACTTGAGCAGAGGCCATATATCTTCAAGTAGACAGGGTAAGAATCATGTATGTATGTTTTTCATGTTGACCTGGGAACTGGGCATGTCGCTCAGTGGTCAGGCACTTGGCTAATATATTGTGTGAGGTCCTGGTGTTTTATTTGGGTTTTGTTTGTTTTGTTTTGTTTTGTTTCTCTTCTTTTTCCTTTCTCTTGGTGGTTCTGGGGATCACACAAAATAAAGAAACAAAGGCAGTGTGATGTTCTTCATGGTGAGTTTGAGTGTGGGCTATCTGCAGGGCGACACAATACGAGCTATTTAGTGTGGGTCACAGTCTCAGAGCAGGTCTGATCTGGAATGCATATGTACAAACTGTATGGATGCTGTTTTTAAAAAATGGAGATTTAAAATTCCCAGCTAGCCAAAAGAATCCATCAGTGTATGTTACTTAGTTTTATGTGCTTATTTTACAATTAGAAAGTGCTTTCTGCGTCCTGAGTCCTGTTTTTTGTGCACTTTGAAGATTCATGTAGTTAAAAGAACCAGACATCATGGTTGAGTAGTTTTTCTCTGAAGAATTCTAGGACAGTTCCATTGTTGGAAGAGAGCTTATAACTGACTCACAAACATTTACGATTTCCCTTTTGTTTATATTTCTGCTCTCTCCTACCTTGTTTTCCTAATTGTAATTTATTTCATTGTTTCTCAACCCTCCCCCCACCTTAAAAAAAACATAGTACAGAACTGTACAGAAGTAATTAGTGCTGTGACCACTAATTCTCTGCATTTCTTTAGTCATCGTTTTGCTTTTAAATTTTTGTGAGTTTTAGTAGTGCGTGGTGGTACACACCTTTAATCCCAGCACTCAGGAGGCAGAGACAGGTGGATCCCTGAGTTCCCAGCCAGCTGGGGCTACAGGGAGACCTTGTCTCAAAAAAACGAAAACAAAAAATTGTGAGTTTTGTATTCTAGTAATACACTATTGGTACTTACTCTAACGTGGATATCCTGTTTTTAATTACATATCTATCCCCGGATTCATGTGTTGCTGGGGATATGTAAATTCTGGTTTGAAAGCACTCGTACATAACACTGAGTTTATATCATCCATTTGTATTCTTTTGTTGACAAAAAACCTAAACTGCTGAGATCTGTTGCTTTCTTCCTTTTCTTTTTTCAAGCTTTCCTTAGGGTGATTCATGTAGCCTGGCCTGTTAGGACACGATGGCACTGACAAGACAGTCCCTGATTTTGCCTATAAGCTACTCAACTTTACCTAAGGGAGAAAACAATATCATGCCCATGCTATAGCCCCAGGCAGAACTATCCAGAAAATAGAAACTGTCTTTGGAAACTACTCTCATTTCTGGAAAAGGAACTTTATGTTAATAATCTCCCAGTCTCCCAGGCTATTTCTGTTTGTCTCTCTCTGTCTCTGTCCCCCAACCCCCAAAGTAAAAGTGGTTGATACTCACCGTTTTCTTCCTACTTACTGTCAGTCCTCCAAAAGCATTCAAAGAAAAGAGCTTCTCTGCAATGGTGTTCAGATCTTTGCATATGTGGTCTCCTTTATCCTTGTAGATAACAAATAGAGCTGAGCTGGGCCAGGCCCTCTACTGCATCACATTTATTCTTCACAGCAACTTTAGTTCTGTTATTTTTTCAGATGTTACGAAACACTGACAAATAACTAAGTTACCTCTTCATAGATTTGAAGCTAGTAAGTGACATAACCACAGTCTGGCCCTAACTTCTTTTACATACATTTGTAAAAGTTAGCTACACAGATTTTTAACATGTATAAGGTTATGCTGAGTCTATCTTCCAGCACATAGGAATTATTCAGTGAATCCTGGTTGATCAAAGTCTGAGACTTCTTGAGCTACACAGCAGCTGGTGGAGAGACACACATACACGTAGGAATCTTTCGAACTGAGAGGTCGAAGGAACCGTGGAGTATTGAGAAGACACACATTTGCTTTATGTTCATACGTGACCTAATCCATATTATGTACTTTCATGCACATACAAAAAACTTGATAGTATTGACCCAGGGTTAAGAAACAAATGTTTTTAATGCTTTTTATTTTAGTGATTTGTTTGTTTGATCATTTAGAAAACTAATTAAAAGACTCCCCTACAGACAAGAGTGATTTGATACATAGTCAGTAAAACATGGTCTTTTCCACCCTAGTAATTATAAATTTATACAGGAAATTATTTGTATAAACTAACCGTAAAATAAAACAGAGTTTCCTAAGTGCTACCTTAAACTGTCCAAAACTCCAGTCCCAGCCTCTTCTGACCTCCAGGGGGCATTGCATGACACGGGTGCACTTACCTACATGCAGGCAATATACACATAACGCATTTAAAAAAAAAAAAAAAGTACAGGTAGATTTAGGTGTCAATTCAAAGTAGAAAGAGTTCTCAGCCCTATAAAAGGTGAAAGCCACTGTTTGGGAAAGATGTCTGAGAAGAGTGGGATGTCCGTAGTCACAGACAAAGCCCCGCGCAGGCCTTTTGTTTGTTTGTGACCTGAGCAGTCTTCCTAGTTGACCCTGAGACTTGGAGATTTGGGGATTTTAGGGTGAGGGAGGAGCAAATTGGAAAAACTCCCCAAAGACCCCAGGACCTCACCTTCAGACTACCCTGCTCCTTCCCAGAACCAAAGAAAAACATCCCAGGGAGTAAATGTGGGGGCCACTGGAGAAATCAGTATTTCCAGCAAAAATAGAATAAAAATTTAAAGAAGATTTGAAATTATTTTGCAAAGACCAGTCTTCTTTCTGCTTACTTTCTGTAAGAATTGGTAAGTGGTTTGTTCGAAATTCAAGTTAACATCAACTCTGAAAGCAGCACCTAAGTCATTTTCTTATGTTCAAGGCCTTCAGTATCTAGTAAGAGCCACATGAAGCTCATGAGCATTTTAAGCAGTAAAATCTCAAAATATTTAAAGAGCGTTTTCCGTGTGCTCACCTAATTCCACACACTAACACCAGATGTTGTCTCGGTATGTGTGCTTAGACTTTGTTTGGGAGTGCCTTTTAAAGCCATGGTTATCTGTATGTAAAAACTTGCTTACTTTTTTCAGAACCACCCTGTTACTAAATTTTATGTTTGACATATTGTACATCTGTCTTGTCTTTGCTGTTTGCTCCTGCACCTAAGGTAAGATATAAAAAGGAATGTCATTTAGGACTAGGAATAAGTGAGTTTCACACATACAGGGTGGTGCGCTCCTAGGAGTAGTTCAAGCTTGAGAAGGAGTTTGGTGGCGCTCTCTTTTATTATGGACTACTACCAATGGAGAACACTGTGACCTTGGAGCCCAGAGGACTCAAGTCGATGAAGAGCTTAGAGGGAGCAGAAGTGGCAGACAGACTAAATGAATCATATCAAGTGTGGCCACTATGGGGCTGAAGATGATTCCTAATTAATCTTTGATCCTCTGAGGTATCACACTTCCCAAACCACTGCTTCCATGAGGGAACCAGTGAAAATATGGAAATGGTGATTTACCTAATCTTTCAGCCCCATGGCAGGCCATCTTCATATGAAGCACTGTCATTGCCCATTCCAGACAAAAACAGTTGTCAACCGTTTTCTTAACCAAAGAGAAAACATGAGGGCACATCAGTCGCTGGGTGGCTGTTTCCCTGGGAGTGTATTCATTCCTATAGGAATTGCTCAAGCCACACTGTCCATCTGAAGACCTGAAAGACTCTCAAGCTCACTTCCATTCATCAGTTCCAATGAATAAATACTGTTTCTGCACCAAAAGTACTGCTATAAAGCAGTGATTGCCTTTCTCTGCTCATCTGTATCCATGTCCTGTGAAGCTGAAAACCAGACCTTTCTGTTGTGCTTTTTAACAGGCATGTCCAGACACCCTCCAGCTCCTGAAATCCCCACCTTTTACCCTCTGTCTCCGGGTGGTGTTGGACAGATCACCCCACCTCTTGGCTGGTAAGAGCATTCTCGAAACCTTTAGTCAGGTGTCTGAACACACGTTCTTCATTCTATTCCTGGAAATCAGCTCTGTGAACAGTTACACTTATGGAATGGAGGAGATTTTACATCAACAAGCAAGGTGCTAACTTTATTTCATTTCAATTTAAAAGATTAAAAAACATACAGACTTTGAAATGGATTGAATCCATCCGGTAATACGTGTAGAAAATGACTGTGTAGCTTTTGCTTTGAAGCTTATAGTTTTATGGATTCAATTTGTGGCTTTGGGCATTTGCTATGCTATATGAAGTTGGAGCTCAGTATGGCTTTTCTCTTCCAGTTTGGTTTTTTTTTTTCTGAACAACTCATATTTTTGAAACATGAACTTAGACACATTGAGTATCTGCTTTTCCTTCTAAATGAGCAAGGGAGGCAACTGACACATAATGAGAGAGAAATTCAACAAAATAAAAACATCTCTTGAATGTTAATAAGTAAGCATCCAATTTCACTCCAGAGGAGCAAGAAACTGATTTAAGAGTTTCTCTTTTCTTCAGACTCCAAATACTAATATTCTTTCCTTCTTACTGGTTATTTCTAAAACCTTATGTTGCTGCATCCAAGTTTTTAAATTATAAAGATGAAACATGGTAAGAAATAATTTTCCATCGTGTACCCTGTCTTTTGATCAGTACCACACTGCTTTCCTCCTCCAGCTCCCAGGCCTTCCCCTTCCTTCTCTCCCCCCTTGAAGCAAGGCAAATGTTTCTCCCTTTTCTCCATTCAGCCAACTGTCCCACAGCCCCCACATCATGGCCCCAGCTCCATACTTGACATTCTGACATTTTTTTCCAGCAAGAGGAGGGCATTCAACTAGGGAGATTCCTGCTTGCTCTCTCTCCCTCCCCCCCCCTCCCCCATTAGCGTTAGATGGAATGAATCTCCTAGTCAGTGAACTTAAGGGTGCTGTGTACATTTTTGGATGATTGTGTCTGAACTGAGCTACTTAGGAGCAGTAGTCCTATGCTGAGTTCCTGGAAGCTGGAAATAAAGACTGTAAAAGGGAAGAATGGGTGTGGGAGAAGGGAGGGGAAGACATGACCCTCAGGGTGGAGCAGAGTAATAGCTGTGAGTTGCTCCTTGATTTCTTGGCTCTAACACATGTATACAAGGGGAAGGGATGTAGTGTCTCTGAAATGTTTACTCATGTTTATGTAAATATAACAGTTTGTGCCCTTTCAGTTTGTAAAATTGTCAAAGATTTGGATAAAGAATGGGCTAAGCTACTTCTCTGAAGGGATGGTTACTGTTCTTTTGACTGCATTATATTCAATAAACATTTTTGATCCTGCTTTATCAAAACTTAAAGGTGTGGGGTGAGGGGAAGGGGTAAAGGATGAATAATTGATGGGCTAGCTTGCTTTCCAAGTTGTGGGGGGCGGTTAAAGGGAAAATGGTACTTTGATGGGGTGGAGGGTGAGGAAGGGAAACAGTCACATGCTGACAAGGTGCTGGGGTCCCTTTGTAACACCCCCTCGCTCCTCACCAAACTCTTTCTCCTGGTTGGTAACTCATGTTTTGTCATTGATGGGTTCCTCTCTTCTGTGACCTCAGGCAAGGTCAGTCTGTATATCCCATCACGGGTGGATTCAGGCAACCCTACCCATCCTCACTGTCAGGCGACACTGCCATGTCCAGGTAGGTGGGGGTGGAGCCAGCGCTGGAGGTCAAGTCGCTCTTTCGTGCTCGCATCTCATCCGCCCCCCTGCTTGCCTCTTGGCCACCAGCTAGGAGGGTGCACAACCCAGCCCCGCGTGTGTCTGCAGTGTGCCTGGCTCCCACACTAGGTATCATGGTAACTCCAGGGCAGGAGTGGCACGCAGTGCCCAGCAGCACCTTCCCACCAGGAAACATTGCCAACTACAGAATTCCCTGCCACACACCTGCGGGGTGACAGGTGTCCCTAAAGTGGGCATTATAAGAAGAGCTTATGTGACTTAAAATCCATTGGAGGTGAGGGTTGGACTAAGGGAAGAAGATAAAAATGAGTTTGGTTTTTATCTACAATTTGCTTCCTCAGCAGAAAGTTTAATTAGTTGAATACTGCAGTGCTTGAAAATGCCCCCAGTCCAGATCCTTTCTGGACTGGCCTGGGGCTCTTGGGGAGAAGACAGTACTCACAAGCTGTAGGCCATGCTGGCTGGGTGTGTGTCCTAGTGTGTGAATCAGGCCCTGTGTGGGACATGTTACTGCAAGCCAAGCCCTCTGAGGCTGCTCTGTGTGACGCTTCCGCTCCTGGAGAGGATGGCTTTTGTGCCCTGTGCTTGATGTACACACAGCTTTGTGGTGTGTCACCTGTGTGTCCCACGTGGCTTTTCAAGGGAGCTAGTGTTACTGTGCTGGAAGTCAAACTGGTGAGCTATTAACTGGTTGTCTATCTGTCTTTTTTTTTTTTTTTTTTTTTTTTTTTTTTAATGTGGGTATCAAGTTTTCCGTTTCTGTGGTGAATTTCAGCTTCAAAATATATATATTCTTTGTTGAGTGAAGTATAAATTTAGATGGCTATGGTAGGGGAATATAATTAATATTCTTCATTTTTATGGTTTTTAACACTAAGAACTGAAGACAGGATTTTCTCACAAGCAAATAACCAATATCATGTATTTTTTGCAAACAGTATTTAGCAGGCATCATTATTTGATCAAATGTTTGTATGTTTTCCTCCTGAATATTTAAAAAAATGTTTCTGAAATATTAGGCATCTGCCCAGAGTTCCTTTCTAATGTTAGGAATAGGGGTCTCAGGAACTGCTTAGGGGTTTTTATACAATCTCTCTTTATCTTCTTCCTAATAAAGGAATTAATTGTCCAAACTCGGATAAAAGACCACACTGGAGAATGTTTTTCTTGTGGAATTAAATCTTTACTTTAAAACAGTTTGAAGAGGTAGAGGCAGGCAGATCTCTGTGAGTTCAAGGCCAGCCTGGTCTACATAGTGACTTCCAGGACAGCTGGGGCTATAGGGAGACCCTGCTTCAAAAAGACAAAAAA